GTTTACTATTGAATAAATTCAACTTATATTTTAACACAAAAATGACAAATCAACAAAAATGTGCTAAATTGGTAAGTCAAGATAGATACGTAGAAACTTTTCAGTTTGTAGATTTTTTGAAATTATGTACAGTTTGAAAACAAAAACAGTTAAAAATAATGTTTTTGAAATACGTGTACAAGCTTGATATCACTATGTAAGACTTAGTAGCATCATTATACAGTTTACTCATGCCAGTGCTCGAGCAATTTTATGTGTACTAATATTATTCGTATACTCTGACTAATTTTTCTCTACAGGTTTACTCATAGGCAATAACGTGAGTACTTAATGTAATACTCATGTTCATTTCTTTACAAAATGTTTAGTAAAATATTTGCACATTTGCATATACCAAAATTGTTTGAACATAGGTAATTAAGTAAAATGACATATTATAATGAACAGTAGAGAAAAAACTACTTCAGTCGCCAATCTAATTCATTTTCTATTCTGTGTGATGAATCATTTAAATGATGACGTTAACTACTGAGTTTAAGAATAGAAGAAAGACCTTCCATTCTAAATTGTTAACCTGTTGGGCAAAATTAAATATTGCTTTAGATAATTATGTTAATATGTATACATTCAAATTTAATTTTCAAAATATAGACCAAAATTTCTGTATTAAAACACAGGTTTTCAGATTACCTGTACAATAAAACGACATAACGACAACTGACAACTTCTGTTACGAGTCAGTTATGACTTAAGATCATAAAGACATCTAAAGAAATCTATCTACAAATGATTTTATTTTGTATTTTTTTTTCTATATGTTACTAAAAGACTTAAATTGTTGCGAATTAAAAATTTATCTATTTCATTTCTGTGTAGCAATTACCACCATGCATGCATTTATAATTAGACTTCGCTATTTGACAAAATAACTCACTATTCATTTTTTGTTCCACTTTACTGTGCTCAATCTGTGTTTTCACGTACAGTCACTTTATGAGATAGAAATCAAGATATCTACATCGTTAATAGCGAAAGTTAAACATTCCTTTATTTTTGTGTCATAAGAATAAAGTTTGATTTTTGTGTAAAGATCTGAGAAAACAATGCAGTTTTAAAAATGCATGAAACTTAATTATTAAAAATATACAACAGATATGGAATGCTAAAATAAAAATGATGGTTCATAATACGAAATCAGCGATCATGCTACTGAAAAACTTCTCATCAATTGTATATTTCAAAAGAAATTAAGTTTGTTATTTTTAAAAATTTGATGCTCTTCTACTATCCTTTTAACAAATAAATAACATCTTATTTTTATCACACAGAAATAAAAAAATATTTCACTTTCTTCTCTATAGATATAGATTTCTATAGACCTATTATTTTTTTTAAATGTTCAAAAAAGTTAGAACTGTAATTCTCATATTCATTGTTTGCTTAAATCCTTATTTTACACGTCTGCAATTTTTGTGTCTTAATATATTACTCAAAGAAAATAGATGTACAAAGACTATACTCCACAGAATATAGGCTTACGAGTATTAGGTATCAAATATTAGAGTACACAAAACTATGTAGAAGTATTCAACAAAAATTCAACATCACACGATGAGTACTCAATTGCTGTACTCAGATAATTTGTTTTTTAGTAAGATCACTATTGATCACCACTAGAAATCTTGAAATATTCTTGAGTGCTCGCAGCATGTTCTAGCGTAAGTGATTTTTCTGTACTCACTTGATGAGTACCTTCACTGAGGTAATCGGATAAAATTTAGTCTAGAGCGCAAACTATACCATGTTCTGCACTTGTTTCTTTGCCGAAATCAGCTATAAAGGGACAACATTGTTTAAGCAAAAAAGTTCTTTTATTTATTTTTTGATAGGTTGCAGCGTATTTGGATCCATTTACACTTGCCGAAATGTCTACTGAAGAAATTAATGAAGCTGAAGCTTTGATAATGCGTGAAGCTGAAACCTTTGCTGTTGCAAAGAAAACATCATCTACAGCAACAGCTACAAGAGAACAACTACAACAACCAAGTACAACATCATCATCGTCGTCAATAAATTCATCAAAACAATCAAGCTTATCAACAATAAGTCGATTCCGAACGTCATGCCGTTCTTCATCAATTGATTCAGCAGCTACACCCAAACAAGAAAAAAAGGAAACACCATTAACATTAAAACAAGAATTAAGTGCTTACATATCTACAAGTAGATCTTATGAAGATTATCAATCTTATTGGAATGAAAAAAAAACTTTATTACCGATTTTATCATCATTTACACGTCGTTATAACTGCATTCCAGCAACGTCAGTCGCATCCGAGTCAGCTTTCTCGGTAGCCGGTTACATCGATAGAAAACAACGCGCCTCATTATTACCAACGACACTTCGATATTTGATGTTATTAAAAACATAAACATTATTCATCAGAATCATATATCTTAAAGATTTTTTCCTATGAATTTCTTCTACATATCACGTTACAAGTTGTCGTAAAGTAACTAGAAAAAAAACACTGGATTTTTATTGATTAAAAAGAATAAATGGTCCAATTAGACTGTGTGATAGGCACATACATTTTATGTACTGATCAAAAAAAAGTTTGTGGATGACTCGCAAAACTAAATCAGGAAAAAAAATGAAAACATATTAAGACTTCGCCTTCATGAACAGCATCAGAACGATTAAATATCTTTCACTACACAAATATGTTCATTATAGTGAGTTGATACTTTTTTTTCTGTGAAATTAAGAAAACTATTCGCAATGTCAGCTGTCATATTATTCATAGATAAAGGTTTGCATATTTATTCTCTTATCCATTTTATTCTAGCTAAATAATTGCAATTGAAAAAGTTTTCAATAAAAATGGAAACTTTACTGTATTTTGAAAATGCTCTAATATTTTTTTCTTTTGCCTTTTAAATTAATATAGATTTCAGTTAATTTGGATTTTATGTCGATGACTACTATGGTTTTCATTTATAAAGTGATCGCGTGTCGGAATATCGCTCTTTTCGTCATAAATTGAAAAGTTAAGACACTATGAAATGCACTTACGCAAAGTGTATAAAAAATAAGAGAAAGTGTGAAAAAAGAGGTCAAAGAAACATT